TGGTGCTTACCATCCACTCCAAATCCTGCACATTCCTCCTCCTAAACACTACAAGTGCTCAATAAATCATTATAGTACATAAGCTCAATTTTGGCCAGTTATTCTATACAATTTTTTCATCCATCATACATTCCAATGAATTGCAGCTGATCCATCCAGAGCAATGATTGCTGCAATTTTCACCATAAAGGTACTGAACATCATTCTCATTTCCCTTTTGAAATCAGCTTTTATTTGGGACAGCAGTATTATTTATTTATATTAGATTTTTTATTTTAAAATATTTATGTAATTATTTTTTCCTTACCTATATTACACCTAATATTTTGTATCAGTAGCATTTGAGGATGAAAACATTAACTAAAATGAAGTAGAAGCAACCTTAGCTGGCACCTAAAAGCCACAGTGTACTTACCAATGTCATGAATTGGCTGCTTTACTCCTATTTCATTATTTACAGTCATTACAGTAACCAAACTTGTATCCGGCTGGAAGGCAGCCTCCAGCTCCTGGTGAAAGATTCAGAGGGACAAAAGGTCTAAGAGAGAAGTAGGATTCCTGTGCTCATCTTCAATTTACCAGCAATTCAACCACCAGTCCCTCATTTGCAACAATCACCTGGGATTCTGACAAACAACCCTGGAAAGAACACTAACCCATGTGAACATTAAATGCTTGTAGGAAAAGTGAATCAGTTGTGTTTCTGCATGTCCTAACCCTTCGATGGACCTGCCATCCCACTTGATTTAATCAAACCTCAACAGTCTTTGCAATATCCTGTAAACTTCTCTGAACTATTTTCTTTAATGAATTAACCACCCACAGAACAGCTCAAGTTGAGGTGAGCCAAGGTGAGGCTGGCTGTAAAGAAACTGCTCTTTATACGAAAGTCACATCACACCTGCAGCAACATGCTCAGAAAACACGACTCATTATTGTGCCCATAGGCTGATCCCTCACTCCCATCACACACACCACCAACTCTCCATGGCAGGTGAGGGACAGGGAATAAAACTGCTGCTGCCCTGTGCTACAGGACATCAATGATGAATTAAAACCATACAATTTCCTACATCTCAGGGCTGCAGCCAGCACATACAGAAGGGCTGGCTCACGGACAGCCATAGGAAGTACTGTAATCACTGAAACAATGCCTCGAGTATTGGGCTCCTTATAGGGTACACAAAAGCTCCATCTGCACAGCAGCAGCTGAACAGCAGAACAGAAGGTGGATGTTTTGATTGAGAAAAAGTGTAGGACATTAGACAGAAATCCTTCTCCAGATCTGACAGATATGACTACGATTGTCACTTCTACTTTGTGATATTTATCATCCTTTCCTCTTTTTCATCTAGATGACACAAGGTTTTGACCATCAATTTAAAGCAAAAACCTCTTTTAGTTTCCTTCTATCAGTAACAACTTACCTTCAGATCTATGAGCCCATTTTTTTTAACTGGTAGATATGTGATGCGAAAACCTTCTGTTTCCAGGGAACGACAAGAATCCAATACACACTTGTGCTCTGTTTGCGTAGTAATAATATGCTTTTTTCTGGATTTATAGAACCTTGCCACACCCTGTCAGGCACAGTCCATGAAAAAGAAATTGGCCACTGAAGAAAATAGGCATTACACAGTATGATTGGAAATAAGAAATTACTACTTAGATACAGTTCATTTGAATCTTTCTTGTTTGACCCAAGTCATGAATCTAAAAGGTATTGACACACAATCCATACTATATATCTCCATCAGCACCTGCTTTTCAATGCATCTCACTTCTCAAAAACTCTGTGAAAATGTTTATTGCTGTTAAGCTGTAGAAGCCATTAACCAAAGCATATTTTTGAAAACTTTTGCAGTGGAGTCATGAACACTGAGAAGTCCGAACAACCCCATACTACATACACAACCTAGTCTTCATCAGAAAAAAGGTTCTAATCTGCATGTCCACTATATTTCACAATAAAGATTGCAATTACATAAGCAGAAGGATTGTATTTGGTGTATGCAAGATACACATCAAATATTTTACACTGCCCTCAAAATTATGTCCTGGGAACCAAAACATTCATCCATGTATTTCACCCACATATGTAACAGAGTATCACAAAAGTAAATCCAGAAATAAAAATATGTTATACTCCAACATATTAACATTTAAGTTGTTGACAGACTGTTCTTAAATACATAACTTTAACATAATGAATTAGAATCAGTATAAACCTTTTACCTTAATTGCCATATTATTAGATTCTGTTGCACCACTGGTAAATATAATTTCCCGTGAATCAGCTCCTATTAAATCTGCAACTTGCTGTTTAAAAAGAAATAAAAATTTGACTTGTTAAGAAAACATACAATGAATTCATTACAGCAAAATACAAGTGAAATGTTTAAGAATACTCCTTTGAGGTTCAAAAGGATTACAGCTGCTACCTAAGTAAGTTATGCTAAAAATAGTCAAAATATCTGCATTATAAAACACATAAGGAATCCACAGTCATTAGAAGTGGTATTAAGCATTAACCTGCTATAAAAGAGATAAAAGCTTAAGTAGACAAAACTCCTTACATACTACTTAAAAAAAAAATTACAAACACCCTTACCTAAGATTAGAAGAATGATAAAATATGGAGTTAGTCCAATGACTTCAGCAGCTTGTGACTCTAGGAAATCAAACTGAGGCACTTTTACTTAAAGTATTGTTTTCTGCCCTTTCAGTTGCTCTAATCTCACTGTTGGAGCAAGTGCCAGCTTCTGCACCTGGGACTGGACAACACTGGGTGTGCAGACAGATTGGGGAATAAAAGGCTGGAGAGCAGCACCACAGCAGTGGTGAGACCTGGGAGTTTGGGCTGAGGGCAAGTGGAACAGGAGCCAGCAGTGCCTTGGCAGCCCCAAGGGCCAACCCTGTCCTGGGGGACATCAGGCCCAGCATTGCCAGCTGAGCAAGGGGGTGACTGTCTTCCTCTGCTCTGCACTGGGGTGGCCTCACCTCAAGTCCTGGGGGCAGTTTGGGGCAAATCTACATAAGGATATAAAGTTATTAGAGAACATCCAGAGGAGGGCCATGAAATGGTTAAGGGCCTACAGGAGAGTCTGTAAAACAAACAGCTGAGATCACTCTTCAGTCTAAAGAAGAGGAAACTAAGGTCAGATCTCACTGAGGGCTGCAGCTTCCTCATGAGGGGCAGCAGAGGCAGTTCTGCTCTTGGTGACCAGTGACAATGGTTTAAAGGAACAGACAGAGCTGTGTCAGGGGAAGTGTAGGCTGCATATCAGTAAAAATACCTTTTACCCAGAGGGTGGTCAGGCACTAGAACAGGCTCCCCAAGGAAGTGGTTACAGCCTTAAGCCTGCCATAGTTCAAGGAGTGTTTGGACAATGCTCCCAGGTACAGTGGGGGGATTGTTGGGGTATCCTCTGCAGGGCCAGAGTTGGACTTGATGATCCTTGTGGGTCCCCTCCAACTTGAAATGTTCTATGATTCTATCTTCTCCTGCAATAAATCTTCTAATGTACAGCTAAACAAAGACGAAGTTGCTAAATCCAGCCCACAGAGAACAGGGGTTTTTTCTTCTTTTTTTAAGGTTCCTTTGACCTGGGATTTCCTCAGCAGCAGGAAAACCAGCATGACCATTGAGCATCAAAGACTCACCCGCCTTGCGTTCTCCATGGCAGCCTCGCTCTCCCAGCCGTAAGCGTGGGTCCTGGAGTGGGGGTTGCCATAGTAGGCTGTTAGGTATGGGAGCATGCTGTCCAGGACTCTGGGATCCTGTGGAACACAAACCACCCCACCTTAGAAAAGGAGAAGGGAAACCATATCTGTTCCCCATGGACATGCCCCCTTGCCACGGGATCAGCAGCACTTCTGTTGCAGTGTTGTACTTTAGCTTAAGCTTGACCTTGAAAATTTGAGGCTATTACATTTTATGTGTAACACAAATATTTGACAATTACGTTCTCTGCATGAAACCCTGATGTGTTCCGAAAGTCAGAGAAGAACATCATCATTTGAGAGAACAGAATCACAGACCCGTTTGGGTTGGGAGACTTTAAAGCTTATTTTGTTCCATGCCCCTGGCCCAGACAAGGACACACCTTCCACTAGATCAGGTCACTCCAAGCCCCATCCAATCTGGCCTTTCTTCTGAGCAGAAAAAATACAAGCTCTTAAAATGTTAAGAAAAATGTCAGATCAGTATTTTTGTTTAATTTATAATTATATTTATAATATTTTGTAATTAATGTCTTCTCGCAACTGTCCCCACTCCAGCAGGGGTCGATGTGAGCCCCTTCGCGGCTCCGCCACGCTCCCATCCTGCGGCGCTGGGGCTGTCCATCCAGGAGGCTGCCCGGCATAGCTACAGCCCTTCCGAGGGATGCCGGACTGCCCTGTGGTGACAGGAACAGTCTGCGCCTAACGCCGCCTGTCCCCCACGTCAGCGCGGGACACACGCGACCGCTGGAGCGAGAGAACCGGAGTGTGGGGCCCCGCTCCGCTTCCCATGCTCGGTGCGGCCCTTACCAGCGGGGTGGTGGCCTGGACATCCATGTAGAGTGGCCGAGGAGCACCGCCGCCATCGCTGGTTCGCCCTGAGGGGAGAAGAGGGAGAAAGCTGCTGTCAGGGGCCGGTAGGAGCGGGGGAGCTGTCCCTGCCCGGACAGGCGCTCTGCCCGACCGCGGCCTTACCTTGTCCCGGTTCCGGTCCCGGTTTCGGTTCCCCCGCCCGTAGTCGCCGCGGGGCTTGTTCGCCCCTCAGGGCCGCCAAGCGTCGCCACAGCAGCATGGCGCGCGCCGGGGACAGCGCATGCGTGTCACCTCTTCCTGTACGTCACGGCGCGCGCCGGAAGCGGGGCCCAGATAGGCGGAGGTGCGGTGCGGCCTAGCGAGGTACGGTCCGGAGCACGAGCACGAGCGCGGGCACGGGCACGGGCACGGGCACGGGCACGGGCACAGGAACAGGAACAGGGGTGGCCGGGGCGCAGGTGAGGTGAAGCGCGCGCTGAGGACCCCGGTTCGCTCCCGAGAGCTCTTGCGCCGGACGGCAGGCAATGGTCGACGTTCCTGAGGCGTCTGCGGCCTGAGCGTCTGCGCTGAGTCCCCGTCCATGGCCTCGGTCTCCGTAAGGGTGGGTTTACTGCCCGCTGCTCTGCGTCCGCGACCGGCGGCAGCCGGGAAGGACGAGTCAGCATTGGGTGCTCGGTCAGGTGCCGCGTGCGCTGCTCACTAGGGACTGGGAGCGCACAGGCTGAGGTTCCTAAACAGCCTCGGCAGCCACAGCGGCGCTCGCAGGAGCTTGTTGAGGGGAAACGAGGTCGTCATTCCTTCCTTGTCCTTCCTACCTGATAGGCAAGGAAACAAGCCTGAGAGCCAGCACAACCTCCAGCGCTGCACGCGTGAGAAGGTTTGAGCTGCACGGGCCGGCCTCTCAGCCCAGTTTGGTTATAGACAAAGCAGTAAATCGATGTGGATATTGTCCTTTGTTTTTTAGATGCCTGTGACCGTGGGCCCGTATGGGCAGTCGCAGCCCAGCTGCTTTGACAGAATAAAGATGGGTTTCATGATGGGCTTTGCAGTGGGCATGGCTGCAGGAGCGCTGTTCGGAACATTTTCCTGCCTCAGGTACGCCAAGGAAATAGCTTCCACAGACAGGTGGTGACAGGGCAATAGCCAGAAAGAAATGGTCCTGCCGTAGAGTTGGGAAGGGATTGGGTCTGGTCCTGTGCCAGTCCCATGAGTGGAACTTTGTCTGACTCCAGCTACTGCAGTAAGCCCTGTGCTCTAGCAGGTAAGTCTGGTGCTGGCAGGGCATCATCTGTGAGCGCCCAGTGTGTAACCTTAACCCTGGGCACTCCCTGTGGCCAGGAAGTCTCAGTTTCACAGACCTTTTCTTGCCTCTTGTAAGGGAGATTCATTGTGAAGCTGAGGCTGTGGAGGATTAGCTCCAGGAGGAGCTGGGTGAATTGTATGTGCAGATACATGTGCAGCCTTTTCCTGGCCCTTAAGCTTCCTGAGGTGCTCTGTAAGCTCTCAGTGTCTGTATCATGGTACCTTTGCATGTGCCATGCCCTTCACAGAGGCAGTTACCAAACTGACCCTGAGTCTGAATTGCAGGAGTGTGGTAAAGCCATGACTGGCATTGGAACAGTCCCACTGTGCAATGGAGAAGGGCATATTCCACCTTCCCCTGGGGCTCACCAGCATGCTGACATGAGAACAAGCCATGTTTGCTGCTCTGCGTTTACTCTGTCACTGCTGACTGACCTTGCACATCCTCTATGACAAAGAATCACTGAAGTCAGCTCTTTCACACTTTGCAGAACTCTGGTGGTTTTTATCTGTGATTAAACATGAGTGATGATTTGGTAGGTTGGAAGTTGATGATAATTTGGAGGTGAAGGAGGAAAAGGCACAAATCCTAATCCAGCGTGAGTTTGAAGTTTTCTAATCTGTCTCAGTTCCCAGAGGGTAAGCAGCATGATGGTAGCAGAAGATACATATTTAGGGCATTTAAAAGAACCAGTGAGAGTGGTTCTGTCGTACTTGAATGACACAACTACAGTACTTCTGCTGTTCCATTTTTGAGGGAAAATCTCATGTTTTAAGAATAAAGTGCATGAAATTCCTTAGACCCTAAAGTTTACTGCAATGCCTAAAAGCCAAATATTACAAGAGCTTCTTGAGACAGAACAATTATTTTTGTTTTAGTCTGACCTCAGGTAAATGAAAACTGGAGAACAGAAACACCTTTTGAAGTTTCTAGGCCTTTCAGGTGTTCTGTATTAAAAACACTCAGTAGTAAATAGAAAGTTAATTTAAATTTGGGATATTAAAAGGACTGCCACTGCAGCTGGAGAAGATGGCAGTACAGTAGCTCAGACAACTCTTTTTATACTCTGGTAAGTGAAATACTGGGACAGTATTTTTTTTCCCATATTAAGGGTATTTGGGAGACCAGGATGCAAACTGTTCCTGCTAAAGGTGTGGCAGGAAGGTTCCAGTACAGAAAAAAACAGATATGGGCGATTGGTGACATCCACCCAAGAGCCCCTGCAGTAGCACAGGGTACTGTAGCCAGTCTCTGGGGAGGCAGCAGCTGTACAATTGCACAGATTTAGATTGAAGAAGTGTCTAATTTGCAACCATGAGCTAATTGTCTCAGATGTTTTCTGCTACATGTCTGTGACCTGACAGGTTTCAGCTTTTACATAATCCCTGTGGTTTTCTTTATCTCAGGATTGGCATGAGAGGACGAGAGCTGATGGGTGGAGTTGGCAAAACGATGATGCAAAGCGGTGGGACGTTTGGGACATTCATGGCCATTGGTATGGGAATACGCTGCTAATCTGGAGTTTGGGATTTGTCCCAGAGTGCCCCCACCCAGCCATTCCGCCACTGTACAATAATAAAATCTTTAGATACCTGGAAGTGAGAGCTCTTAATGAAAACTCAGTCCTGTCCCTCTGTGCTCTGCTGATTGCAAGTGTGCTTTTTTACAAAATTTCTACTTTCTTCCCCTCTCCTAGTCCCAAAACAAGGAGAATTAATAATTTTTACTACATTGAAGTTCCTGTTTTACAGATATAAGTATACCACACAAGTTTCTCCCTTTGGCATTTGGTCAGCTCACAGTGCCCATGTGGATGTAGAGCTGCTCTGTTCCTTCATGCATTCCTGGATCTAGGAAAGTTGGATGTGGGTACTTCAGATTAATGATCAAATTTCTGTCCTCCTGCAAAAATGGGTAGGTTGAAGCCGGTTCCATTTCTGAGTCCCAAGTGTCATGGGGCAGATATCCTCAACGGGGTAAGGGACCCCAGGATTCAGGCAGGTCCATAAGAGCTGTGGTCCCAGAAACAGAGCCTTTTCTTACAATCTGGTTTAGCAGGCCTACAAGGTGGTCAGCACTTGCCCAGGAGAGCAGGGGGATCCTTCTTGCTTCTCACCAGCCCAGGAAGTGTGCTGCCTACAGCTGCCCTAGGAAAGGGTTGTTGGTGTTGTGGTCTTCCATTACTTGCCTTTTGAAACAAGGCCTCTCTCTGCTCCTCCTATAGTTCTGCGTAAGGAAGACACATGAGCAGCAGCACTACCTCAACCGGCACCTGTACAGCCTGGATCTGGTCCAAGTGCCTCTTCCCTATTTTCAAGGCAGAAACACAACTTCACTGCCTGAAGCGCAACTAGAGAGCAGCTCTACTTCAGCTATTATGTTACTATTCCCCAGGATCCTGCTGTATTCCCAGCCCCCCTCCACCTTTGCCTTTTGCTTACTCACAGTTCCTTGATTTAGGAGAGGCCTTTGCCCCACTGCAGCTCAAGGACAGATACAGCCCTAGGGGCTGCATAGCAGGTCCTCTCCTCACAATACCACAGGAACACCAGCAGCATTGCTGCCTGCCCAACCCTCACCCACTCCCGAGGAATGTTCTGTTCTCCCTATTCTCTCTACCTTGGTCTTTTCTTGGTGGTTTAAAAGGCCAGGGAGATGGGACGGGTAGAAAGGGCAAAGCACAGAGGCAGGCACCCTCTAGAAACCAGATTGAAAGCCAACATAACTGACTTCTCCAGCCACAGGACTCTTGAACATTTTTGAAGGATGGGAGTCAAGGTGGGCACGAGGTGGGGTCATCTCTGGACTGAACTTTAAGCGTGCCTGAGGAGGGCAAGAATTGTGCCCAGATCCTTAGCAACCATGCCAACACTGCAAAGAGGGCTGGGACAGCTCCTGCTTGTACTGTCTGAGCACATGATATCCTATGGTGTACCTAGATACTGTGCAGCGGTATCCCAGACACTGGGCAGTGCAGAGCATTTATGACTCACCTCCAGGCCTAAGCAGACACTGCTTAAGTCACACTGGGAAAGCAGAGAAATAAAGCTTCATGAAGGCCTTTTTAAGAGAATTTTATTTGAGTGGTTCTTACAAAGATTGTTGCAATATGAAAGTCTTTGATAGAAATATCAAGCTGTTTTGTCAAACACACTGAAGTAACCCAAAAATATATTTCAGAGCTCACAGAGCTTAAAAAGAGCAAAGATTATATGCAACCAGAACAAAACACATTTCTGTATTTCCTACCCATTTTCACACTTGGCTGAAATCCTTCAGCTCTGCCCCACTGCGCATATGGAAACTCATCCGGAAATGCAGAATGTTTTGTTTGGAAACTTAGACACACCTCACAGTATTTACAAAGAAACTTGTACAGATACAATAATCAAAAGTTACCATCAAGAAATAAAACCCTTCAATCCTCCTATTCTTACCAAATTATTCAGCACAAAGCAAGCTGAGTAGCTGTCTGCAGTCAGCATTCAGTAGCTTTTTGGACTTTCCATTTATACAAAAACACTAAATATGTCCCTTCAATCCAGTCTCTCTCTGATACTACCCTTGAGCAGATCACCCACATTTAGTGAAATGTAAAATGTCTTTGCTGCATTAAAAGAAAGGCTCATGAAACATTAAAAATGTCATTATGTCCCATCTGCCTTTTACAGAGTACTTGTTATCTATGAGCTACTTCTCAGTTCCTACGGATCACCTTTGTCAATGTACAAGAATTACAAGGCAGAACAAGAAGTCAACAGCTTTGTATACAGTGGAAATGCTAGTTAGGGAGAATGAACACACTGCATTTCTGCTTACTTCATTTTATTTTTAAAGATAGCAGGAAGTGTACACAAAATGACATTAAATCCTTTCCTTTAGTTTTATCTAAATAAAAGATAACTCAATCTTCCTCCAAAAAATACCTATGTACAAAACTGACTAAATTAATCTTCATCGTCGAACAGGAACCAGTAGTTGGGTTGCAGTCATAGAGTCTGGGAAAAGGCTATGGTATGTTGGAAGAGGTACATACGCTGCTGTAATCATTTTACCTAATCACGAGAGGAAAAAAAGTAAAAATCAGTGTTTGGTCATTTCTGTAATGACCAAATGTAATCACTAAATGTAGGCATGTACATGGAACACTCACCTGCAAACCACCTCCCGTGCAAAGCATTGACAGCTGCGATGGCAGCAGCGATGGAAGGACATTTAACATACACATTGCCCTGCAAGACAGAACAGTGTAGCCTGTGAGGAGTCGGGAGACATTTCCCCAGTGCTGTTCCTCAGCCACCCCTGGACATGGCTGTGACAAGAGGCACACCTGCTCCACCATGGCATTAATCACACAGGATGAGCACAAGAGAAGGGGACAGTAGTACTGGCAGGCACTACTCCACTGTGGCAGTTACTGCAGCTTTCAATTTTTCTGAATAGGATTTTCCAAGACAGCCCAAACATGCCTTTGACTGGCAATCACTGAGCCACGGATGGCTATTCTGTTCCTGAGAGCCTTTTAGAGAGTAGAGCTAAAGGCTCCTCATTCACCATGACATGAATCATTGACACCATGTGAAAAAGAGCACAAGGGGCCTGGCTGCCCCCAAGGCACTAACCTCAACCACATATGCTTCACTCAACATGCAAGGTGATAATCTGGATTCCACAAGAACCAAGCACTCCCCATTCCCCCAGATGAGAAGGACAAGCAGCATTTCAAGCAAGACTGTTGCCATAAAAACTCTACATAAACATCAGCATGTCTTTCTTGAACAAGAACTGAGGCAAAGGGAAAATCCCATCCCAGCAGGGCAGGAAGAGCCTGAGATAGTTCCCAAGGTGAATGACAGACTGATCTTTGAACTTCACCAGAGACACCTGGAGTTTCCCATCTGCAGATCAAGAACTTTGCCTCCCTAATCAAGAGAACTGCAACAATCACATCCAACAACTCCAAGACACACAGATGCCCAAAGTAATATGTGGCATTTTTCTGGCTGCCTGCTTAAAAACACACCATCAGTAATACCCAAGAAAATCAATTCTAGCTGAAACAGATTGTTCAGGAAAATAGTATATTAAAAAACAGACTCTAGCCTTTCCTTAGCAGCTTTAGTCAGCCTGTATTAACTCTCCCCACTGCAATCTAACTCATTCTTTTCTCATGGAGTGAACCTGAGCTTAGGGATCAGTGATTAAGGCACTAAGCAATCAATTAACACATACAGCTCTGCTTTCAGCCTCCCCCTGCAAAGGCACCTAAGCTGCTTAAATGCCCAAAATAAGGCACAGGAACACAAAGCTGTGGTATTCCCTAACACCCAGCAGCACAGATAGGTGGGGTACATGAGCCATGCACTCAGCTGGGACTGCAACTGTTTCATCCACAACAGATCACACCCTGATAAGCCAACCTCCAAAGCCCTCAGCATGGAAGTCTGTCTGGGACAGAGCCCTGAAGGTGCCCAGAATTTAAACCTAGAAAACACAATGGTACAATGGAAACTGTATCAGTAGGTATTTTGTATCTGGGTCACTGCTGTGCTACTACGACAAAATGTTTAATTTTCTTATGAAAAATTAACTCATTACATAGTAGCTTGTAGTTTTTTATTTTAAATCCATCTGCAAATGTGAAACAGAGTTTTGCAGCTCAATGTGCTTAGAACCTATGTGAGGTATCTCGAGGGCTGATGTAGTTTTGAGGGGTTGTGCAGTGATTTTTTTTATTTTTGGTGGCTAGGAGGGTTTTTTGGAGGTGGGAAGTGTTCTGGGTTGTTGGCTGTTTTGGGTTTTTTTTTGTGTCAAAGAACACTTTGTTTTCTCTAAGTAACAAACACATTGTGGGCAAGGTTTCTGCCTCTCATCAGTCCAACGGTCCAAGATCACAGCTGTGATCTTGAAGATTCTAAGATGCCAGGTAAGGCAGCACGTTTGATATGCTATACTGCAGCCCCTTATCTAACCTCTCTGTAACCCACAAGAATGTGTTTTAGGTGACATTGGGGCAGCTGCAAAAGACAGCAATGGTTGGTGAGTACCAAGTGGATCACTGCAGCAGAGCAATCCCACCTAAGCATACCAACAGGAACATGGATTTCAGTCTTGTACCGCTGCACAAGAAGATACTTTTAGGGTCTGATGGATAGAAATTAACCCAACTGTGAAACCATCCAAAAACTGAATTCACAGCCCAAACAAAAGTTCTTTTAGAAAATGGTTCAAGATAGTTTATCTATTTACAGACCTTCCAGAGTTTATCCATTCTAAGACCCAAAATACAGAGAAGAGATAACTGGTCTGGGGAGTACGTAAACAAGGCGAAGTCAGAAGAAAAATATATTCACCAGTTTAAAATGCAGACACAAATCTGGAATTGAGTCAGCAGCAGCAGTCTTTTCCCTGTTCTAAGTCCAGGCCCTCAGACTACCCACTGCAAGTCTTTAATGTCATGAGTGACCACAACTATTTCTAAGCATGGGATGAGGCACACATTTACATGTACACCATGATTCTATTGGACCAAGGGCCCTTTCTGCTGAAGCTTATGCTCTAAAAAGAGGAAAGTGAAGTCCATGACTTCTGGGAAAAGCACAGCTTAAGGGAAATGCCAAATGCCTGAACTGGTCACTGCTCTTCTACAGGAACTTCAGCTGGGTAAACAAAGCACCAGAAAGCTGCTTGTACACGCATCCAAAGTTACACACAATGATTTACAACGGGAGGGAACCACCTACATTGTGCACAAACTAAGAAATTTAGGTACCATTTAGGAAAAGCCCCGTATTTGTAATGCTCCCCCTAGACAAAAGGGAGCAACAGAACTCAGAACATCTGCTCAGTGTGTTCCCCCCCAGAACCAAGCATACCTGAGCTGAATTTTTGTCAACATAGATGTGGATAACTCCTCCATGTTTGTTACATTCCTCAATCACATCATCTTTAATTTCTGTGTCCCAGCCAGCTTCTTCTTCACTGTACAGGGGAAGGAAAAACAGGAGAGATATCACTCAGACAAAATCTACCCCCAAAACCCATTAAATACACTCCTGCAATATTCCAATTTATTTCTTACATGTTAAAGCCATTGACAAATGCCAATCAGACAATGATAAATCACTTACGTTTGAGGATTAAACATGTTGGAAAGCTGGAAGCACTGTGTTGCAAGTGGTTGTACAGAAGCAGCTGCAGCCAGAACTGTTGTAATGGAAAAAAACCCATTAGCATATCTAAGAACCCACTATGCATGGTTCTAATTGATTCAGCATAATAGAAACAGCTCTGACTAAACAGAAATTAAAGGCAGGAAAGCAAAACTCAGAACCAGACACTACTGATGATAGATACATTTAAACTGATCAATACAAAAACCAGCACATTATGAATCACAGTTGAAGGTAAGTGAAAATATAATAGTGTACATTGATTTTGGCAGATTTTCCATTTAAACATTAAAAGGCACACATCTTCATTTGCATCTAAAATGGCTGCCTGAGTTGTATGTCAGCAGCACCTTTAATGTTCTGCTCCTCATAGAAGTCCAGCAGCAGCTCAGGACGGCACCACCCCAGCTGACTGCACAGCAAAGGACAGACACCTTGGGGAATTCTTAAAACCTGTTTTAAGCATGTTGAATTATGCTTCAAAAGTGTACCTACACTTTCATCCCTTGATAACACATACTGTAGGAAACATTTGACAACTGAAATTGCTTTCCCTGTAACTGTGAAATTACTACTTGTCATTTATTGCTTCTCATCATCCCAGTGCATTGTATTAAACACTGTCCCACAGGCTGCCCTTCCATAGGCTTCAGGCTTCTGTCAGTGTAATTGCACTAACAGCCCTCTTCCCCATATACTTCAGACATTAAGGGTTGTGCAGTCACATAATGAGCAACTCAGAGACAGTAAACCCAAACTCCTGATTCTCAAATG